ATCAGGGTCTCCAACTCTTTCACTCATTTGTCAGTCTGTAAATGAAAACTTCTTAGGTGAAGAAATCCTTAGGAAAATTTCTTCAATTAATGAATTTTTTGCAGGGTATTGGGGTAATCTCTTGGAAGCAGGTGAGGCAGATGATGAAGTGGAGTGATGATGTGAATCTGTGGCTGTCATTGGCCTATTCAACAACCTTAGAGTGGTATGTATAGCTACAAGATGGTATCTATATCACCAAAAATATTTTAATAAATGATAAAGAAAAAAAGTAAATACTTGACAGTTACAAAAACACAATGACACTGAGAGATGTTTTGAAATGAAGAATGTGTTTTAAAGTTTACATTTTATCTTCTGCTAATGTTTTATTCTCTAGGCTATGTGTCTTACATGGTACATAGCCTAGTGGATAAAAGAATTAATTAAGCAAATTGTGTTAACTAGTGGCTGTAGGTTCAATTCCTGGGTTGGGTAGAAGAGACCATTGATATTATGATTAAAGAGAATTAACTTAGATATCCTTTAGCACTGTGTTCCCCTAAGTGGTTAATATCAACCTCTGGAAGTGAATGGGAGTATCCAGTGGATCAATAGATGTGTACAGGTAAAGAGGGTCAATAAATGCTCAGAGGTGAAAAGGGGGTCAATAAATCACAGTGACTGTGAATAAAAACTATCAATTTCCAACTAAATATCAATACCTTGCTACTGTTCATCAAATGCATCTTTCCTATTAATGGTACCAACCAATTTAATAAAAAGGTATATTCATTTATTTTTAATGTATTTATTATTACTTATATTACTAATGAAGTTTTTTTCATTATTATTATTATTAATGTCCAAATATGTTCAATCAATGAAGTGTGGATGGAGCCTTTTTTGATAATCTTTTCTTCTGAGACTAATGGTGGCAACACAATGTCTGGTACTGAGTAATAGGAAAAGGAATGTTCAAGAGGAAAAGACTTGAGAAGAGAATTCCATCTTAAGATTATTTCCAACCAATAAAAAGCTAGAATTTGGAACTCAAGAGAATTTTAAAAAATAGTTTATTGAACTGGTCAGAACAGATATAAAAGAAGTTATTAGCCAGCTTAATCACTATTCATCAGTTCAATCCTCACTGAGTGCTCCATACTTTAAGCCTTGTACCATACATCTAAGCTATGCTTAGTAAATTGCTATTCTTCACAATTCTGTTCATTTGTGAGTAGTCAGATGTAAGCCAGCAGATCAAATAACTTCAGCAGCATGTTCAGAAAAAAAATCACTATAAGTTCTAAGATACCACTGACCTGCAAAGAACTCTGAGACAACATTCAAAAATAGATAATTTTGAACATGTTTATCTGAAAAAGACCCACAACCAGATCAAGTTTTTACTTTTCAAAGATAACTCACTCTCTTCAATTATAATTCTACAAGGCTGTATATAGTTCTGAAAGTTATCCACAAATGACAATGATTCTGCAATTCCTTCCATTCAACAAATGGATGCTACTATGTTGACCTATCAACCTCTGAATGGCTCAACAATATTTGATATTTCCACATTCTCTCTTCAAAGGATTGTTTAAGCACTCTGTGAACTTTGCTGACACTTTACATTTTCTACTAAGCACATCTGTAATATTTGTTACTACTTTACCTAACTTAAATTTTTTTAGCTGGTCAAAAGAATATTTTGACCAACCTTGTGGCAGACTTCATCACATTAATTTAATTTTAGATTAGGAAACAGGGCTGACGCAGAAAAGGATAACCAAAAGACATTGTTACACATAAAATTTGTATTTAACAAGATGTACAATATCAAACAACGATGTGAAAGAAAGCATGCATTTAAGTAAGAAATGGTTGAATAAAACAAGAGTTGTCTCTCTTTAACTGTTATTTTAGTGTTCCAAAGTTCACTGGAAGAATGTTCATGAGAGTCTCTTATAATGTTTGTTCTTGAAAGCTTTTGCTGTGTAAGAAAAGATTATGTGAGTATATACAAGGTATGTTCAGCATGCGAGTGGTGTGTGTGAGTGAGAAGGTTGGCACATGGTTTCAACTGTTGTGGATTCGTTTGGCAGTTGGATCCTCACTAAATAGAGTTAGAAAATTCTTGCTTAAATAAGTGACTGTAGGCTCCAGATCGCTGCGCAGGAAGAATTATTCTTCACGTGCAGATGATCTGATTGGTTGGCTTCGACCAATTGGCAAGTGAGCTTTGGGGAGACTTAAGAAAGCTTCTGTGATCCGTTTCTCCCAAAATTGCACAAAACTAACTACATAAAAATAGAGCAATTACAAAATTGTCGCATTGTTGCAATTTGTAAATTGTCTATAATAACGTAGTGGTGATTAATTAAGCAATGAATGCTTGGCGTTGTATGTGATTTGTATTTTTGTATGTATGTATGTTCGTGCGTGATAGATTCGCATAACCTCTATACTCATCTTCCTTTTCACATAAAAAAATTATTGTAAATAAACAGTTTTTTTGTTTCCATTTCATGCTGAGTAAGAATCCTTTTTAAATTGTCTGCTTATAGAATTATTAATTGATCATTTTCTTTGCATGTTGGAAAATGGGAGAAAATGAAAATTTTTATATACCAGGAAAATCAATGACAAAATTTTCATATGATACATTTTGTTCTTTAGGACTTCATTAGATTTAAAGTAATGTTTACACTAATGTAGCTACACATGATGAAGAAGAGAGGATGGTGAAATTTTAAACTTTTAAATTAAAATTCTTTAAATATGTGTTTGGAATGTTTATATTTTGAAAAATCCTCATATCTCTTTTTGAATATTTTTCTCCTCTTTCTTTGTCTTCTCCTAAACCATCTTTGAAAATCAAGAATTTATGAAGCATCTCATCAGGATCAAAATCATTAAATTTGCTTACCAAACAATTGCTCAAATTCAGGCACTTCTTCATTTTTATTATTCATTATGAAGTTTCAGATAGTTGTCATTAAAAACCATGTCACTTTTTAAAAAAAAAGTAGATAAAATAAGGAAAATATTGCTACTAATTGACTAGACCTCTGTCAAGGTTGGCAATGTGTGTAATAATTTTTTACTGTTACTACTGCCTTAGTGAGTGGTAGAAAAAATATTACTTAGTTGCTAAAATACTTTTCAAAGTTTGCCCATATTGGTTTTCATTTTCACTTTCTGTCATGACAATAACGAGACCATTTTTACCAAGATTTATAACTTGGGAACACAGCGGAGGGATGTTGAATTTTTACTTTTAGGCTTTTCTCGAAGACAACCACCCTCAGCCGAAATTAGAACTCGTTTTGCCGATTCCGTTTTTCATGCTGATTATTACCTAGCCGCACTGAAACTCAGAAAAATATGCCAAAAACTTACTTTATTAGGAAATATAAAAGAACGAATAAATACATCAGGTAAATAAATAAAACGAGAAAATAAAAAAAATTATTTTACGCTAGTGATCATCCGTAAGTTGTGTAACAGTAAAAAAACATTTTTACATTTTCAATTCGGTAAAGAAAGGAGGAAAGCCTTTAGGTTAGCCATTTTTAATACTCACGCAAGAAGAGAGAGATTTATAAACAAAATGAAATAACATTACAAATTTGTCATTCATTAACAAACCATCTCTGAGTAAAATTAAATAATGAATATATTTTTAAATTTATCGAAGCTATTCAATAAATAGTAAGAAATGAAGAAAATATATTTTAGAAAATAATAGCAATATAGCTGTTTGGTGTTCTGTGTAATATTGGTTGTACTGAAGTTGAAGCTAATCTGTTCTTCCTCCCTTTTGTTATTTATATTAATTGTGGCTGTCAATCGCTAACTTGAATTGGCTGTTTTACTTCTTTTCTCCAAACAGTGAGTGAGACTTGTATTTAATAATAATAATTTCTTATCCAACTTGTAAATATTGTTCCGTTTTTAAAACCGTTAAACAGCCTTGAAAGAAAAGTAACCAAAGCAACAATAACATTTCATTTATTTGGATTATGTCGAAGAGGAGAGAGAAGGTATTATTATTGGATTTGGAGAAAGAGAAGAAAGCTATGCCTTTCGATTTTTACTTAGTCCATCCATTTAATATTCAACCGGCACGCGATAAGTAAATGAAAAATTAAGTAAGAACATTTTAGTAATGTTAGTAAATTAATCTATTCTTATAAAAAGTAGTTGCATTTGTTTGTAGTTTTGTTTTGTGTAGAGAGAGAGCGCCATAAGAATCAATCAATCAATAAGCAACTAACAAAGTAGTGATAATTGTTACAATAGGAATCTCTATCAAATATTGAATTATCTTACAGATTTTCTATTTCTATACTAACTAGCTTGTTTGATACTTACAAATAATAATAAAAAAAACAACACACTACTACATCTACTTAAAGACATTTTTTTTTTTAAATTTCATCTTTGGGTTCCGCTTCCAGTTTTCCTGTCTCTTTTTATTTTAATTCTAATTTTTAAATTCTTCCGAAAACATCTTTATTTTCCTCAAATTTCTTGTCTTTTTGCATTTTATTCACTGTCAGATATTTCGTTTATTCATTACAATAATTTGTATTCACTTCGTGAAGTTTTTAATACACAATCACATATTTTTAAACGATTTTTTTCAATCAAAACAAAACGAACAAACGTTTGGCTTAAATAAACTTTAACATTTTGCTAATTTAAAAAAAATACGTTTCCATAATTTTTTTTATTTATAATTCAAGTCAAAAAAGTATAAAACTACAAACAACATATATGCCCAGCAACACGCATTTGTCACAAGTTTAAAAAAAAACATCTTTCTTGCTTCCTTTAAACAGGAAGAAGGTAAACTAAAGAAAATAGCTCTCTTTATTTTTCCAAAGTAAAAAAAAAAAAAAAAACATCAACAAAAAGTCAAGTCTTCCTTTCATTGCAACTGGGATTAATTTCTGAAGTAAATTTATTGCCGACATATTTTTGTTGAGCTTTCTTTACTACACATCATCAGCGAAATGGATGAAGAAAATTTGATTCAAGTATTTGAGAATGGAACGGAAGAGGATCTTTGTCGATCACTCAAGGAATTTAACACGAAAGTAAGTACACTTTTTCTTTTTAAAAATAAAAATGTAAATCTTTATTTTCTTAAGTTAAATTCTTTTATTTTCTTAAATGTCTGTTGCTACTATATTGTTTTCTTCTTCTTTTTATCCAGTTAAATGACAATCATAAATTAAAAATTACTTTGTAAAACAATCGTAAAAAATCTATAAACAAATGCACAAAATTAAAATGGCCAATAAATTGTGTTGTTTTCGTGAATAATTTTCATTTTTCAAGATATTTGCGTTTAAAATAGACTGTAATGTTTGAATTTCATATTTTAAAAAAATGTAATATTCCAGTTATTCTGACAGTTTGTTTATTTTTCACATTGATCTTCTGATGTTTCCGTTTAAAAAATCAGGCAAAGCATCGCTTGAAAATATTTAATCTAGTAATTATTCTAGTTATAATTTTGAATGCCAAAATATGGTAGATGATTTTTATTGTAATTTTTTAAGTGTAAACTTGTCAGCAGGATGACTGTTTCCATTGATTTATGAATGAATGGCAAACCAACTTATGGTTGTTTATATTATGACGTAAGGAAGGCTGAATAAAAATACAGGCGCTACTATCATCAGTAGTAAAAAAAAAAAAAAGTCTACTACTAACTACTACTGTCTGCGTGTCGTCTTTTTTCATACTTGTCAGTAAACAAACATATTTTAATATAAATCATTCATTCCTGTTTTAATTGAACTGATTATCATTAAAAAAAATGTCATTCCCTTTTTCTCTTTCTTTGCCTGCTTGTGTTTTCTCGTCTTTCTTTTTCCTTTACTCATGCATTCATTGATGAATTCATCGGCATACCTTGCCAAATACTCTCTTCTTACAATAAACAACACTGCGACTACTAGATTTTTTGTGCTTGGAGTGTCGTTTTCATTCTTTTTCTTTCTCTTTTAGTCATGTTTTTATTCCTCATTAAACTTTTATTACAAATAATTCACGCAGCTAGATTTTAAAATTGTTTTTGCACTAAATTGTAACTTTCGGATGAATGGAAAAGAAATATGTGTTGTGTGTGTGTGTGTGTGCCTTTTACGTTTTCAAGTTGCATGCACTTTTCAGAAAATGGTCACAAAAAGGGGGAAGATTTATTCCTTAAGTTGAAATTGTAAACTGACTCCCCATTTTCTGCCCATTTTCTTTAGTTTACTTACAATTACAATCTGGTGTTTTTAAAAATGTAGTAGTGTAAATGTTTACCAGCTCTGCTAGTATCTACTATTCAACAACAATTCACGACGACTGACTACTGACATATTTCAATTTCATTAATCATTTTGCTAAAAAAAGTTAACATTAATTATTATTAAATGTTATGACTAATAATAGTAATACCTACCTACAACAATTGCATTTTCATGGCGAAAAACTAGAGATCTATTTATTTTAATAATGTATAAATTCCAAGAAACCAGAGCTCCCCCTTTTTTTAATTTCTAGATCAGAAGATTTGTTTAAGTTTTAAATGTAGAAAGAAACGTTTTTAGATAAATTTTCTAAATCGACACAGTAAAAAAAGTAAATAAAGTCTGCTCTGAAAATTCTTACAATTACAATTTAATGAAAAATTACATTTAACAGAGAATAGAAATACTTTACTCAACATTCAACATTGGAATTGAGAAATATTGAATTGAATTTATTTTCATTCATTTCTCATTGTTCATTGATTGTAGAGATGTAGATAAATTATTTTCTCATGATGTCAATAAACAGTCTGCAATGTTTTAAAAAATCAAGAATTGCCTTCTCTCGTTATTTGAAGGAAAGAAATATTTTTTTAATAGAATTACATTTTGTCTTTGCAATTTTAGTGCATCACAATCGCAATGTCAATACTGCAAGTAAGCTTTCTTCTTTATTAAAAATCCTTGACACTCGAAGACATTATTATCAATATTCACACTTTTTAGCTAAATTACTGATTTTTTTCCCCTGAATTTAAAAAATATATCTTCTAACATTTAAGAAAAAAAATGAATAAAATAATATTCGGTATACCTAAAGCTCGCCGGATTTTATTTTACAAAATCGGGCTATAAAAATAAAAAAGATTAGCGGTAAAATTGAAAAATGACCTTGATAGAAACAATAATGAATTAAATATTCATGCCTTGTTAGGTGATCATAAAAAATGTTACTTTTTGCTTAAAAAATATTTTATTTTTTATTCTATGTGGTATTTTCATTTTTGTTATGCGTGAACTTACATTTTTTTCGCTTCTTTTTAGAGACCGTAGCACATTAAAAGACTAAAAAATGCTCGACCAATTTTTAATTTTGTTACCGATGCTAGTTAACGCCTCATGGAAACCGGATAAAAACAATAAAAATAAAGATGTTGGTATATAAAAAGATTAAGTACTGATAATACTTAATTTCACAATTAACATGCATATTTTATTATTCTTGTTTTGTTTTTGTTTAAAAATAAATATTTGCACAGTTTACTTTAGTTTACTTTAAAACGGTACTTAACTTCCTTAGTGCCTGTGGCTAAAACAAGATTTATTTCTTAATTTACAATACAATGTTTCACCTGACTCGAGCGCTGACAAGATTCTTTAATTAGGATAAACTGGCTCCTGTCTTGTTGCTATTAAAAACTGCTTAGATTTTGTTATCAGTACTGGGTTGATGAGGCTCAAGTCTATCATCTCTGAGGGAAATGGAAATATTGACTTTTAAATTGATAAACAATTTTCCTTCCAAATTATTTACAAATCACAGTGACATAAATCATAATCATTGTTTTCCATTCTTTTAAACTGAGAAATGTTGACATCTTTTTCATTTGTAATTCAGCCTTTCCTGATCTAAAAAGGACTTCTTGTCTTTTATGTCTGTCATAGTTGTTACATTGTATCATTGACACAATTACTACTTTCACTTTTATTGTTGAAATACTTCTTGTGTGGGTGAATACTTTTTGTGTAGTTCTTTCTCTTTATTTAAAAAATAATTTTGAGATTTATAGAAATCTCAAAATAACTAAAAGTACATCATGATTAGAAAACTGTGATATGTAGTGAATATTTTCCTTTTTAAACCTTTTTATTTTATTTTATTGGTTAATAATAATCAATAAAATCACTTGCTGTCAAATAGTTTAATATTCTGACTTATTCTTTCTGTCTGGAAACGAACTTATTTAACAGAATCTAATAATAAAAAGAAGAAAAAACAATGTATATTTATGTCCATATATAAAAAAAAAATTCATTAAAAATTTTTTATTAAAAAATACATGCAAGTATTACTTATGAAAATAACATTCCATGGTGATTTACTTGATATATTCTTATCTTTTTAATTAAAATAAAATTGAAATTCAGTAGGTTGAAGTGTAGTAGTTACAATTTTTTAAAAATCACATAAATAAATAAAAAAAAAAAAAAAAAATTAAATTTTTAACTGTCTGTAGGTAAAAATTTTATCGTTACTCTTAGAAAATTTTAAAGTTGTTTGTATGTTGACTGTACAAAGAAATACAACTAATTGAGAGATGGCAAAACAGAACAGATTTTTTTAACAAATGGAAGTTTAGTTACTTATAATTACTACTTATTTATGTAGAATGAATGAGAGAAAAAGAAAACGGAAAGAGAAACATCCTTCTGAAGGCAAACAACAGGGAAGTGTTTGTATGTAACTCTACAACAAAATATTCAATAAGTTCGAATAAATTCTCAGCATATGGATTTTTCTCTTATTTTTCTTAATGCTACTATCAACGTTTTGGAGTCACAACCCAACCAATATTGCTAATGTTTTTTTTATGTATTCATTTACAAAATGTAGACCCAAAAATTTATAATAGCAGTTAAAAAACACATAGATGTGCGTAAATTTAAATATTATTAAATATTATTTCGAGGTTAAAAATATTCACAGGATTAAAAATACCAATAAATAAATAATAAAGAAGTTTTCTAAGTTTTAAAATTTTGTCTTTCTGTCAGTGAGGGGTTGTTAAACAGAAGTTCTATTTTAAAAATCCTATATTAGTAACCTAAAAAGTTAAAGAAAACCATTCTTTACTGAATATGTGAACAGTTGATATTGTTTTTAAATTTGGTTATGTACCATTTTGCATAAAGGGGTGTTGAAAAGGTTATTGGCATTGGCCTATTTCCCCAAATTTTACCAAATAGAATTTTTCCTTGTTTGTGCATGATTGCACAGACTGGAGTGTCAGTAAATTTGTGATATCATATCTCAGTTTTTCTACTGAGATGATAACTGCCTAATCTGGTCAGTTAATTACACAAAGTTTGTTATTGAATTAACCATTCCTTTTGCACAAAAAAACATCAACTCACTAATTTCATCAGTGTAAGTTAGAAAAGTACATATGTTTTTGTGAGAGCAATTGATAAGATATAAAGCTGGATAACTAATATATTTTATATTGAAATTGGATGCTGATCTTTTTATTGCCAATTCAACCTCAACAAATTTACAGGACTAAACTTGGATTGTAAGCAATTAAAAAAAAAAAAAAAAAGTAGAAACATATTAAGAAGCTCAAAGATCAGGCAGAAGAAGCTGTATCTGAACTGCCATACTGTATTGGAAAAAACAGCAAAATCTGGTTAGTATTGAGGTATGCCATTGGTTAGTAGTAATGGTTTTTTACAGCCCTGAAGACATGCCTAATCCTAGAGCCATTACCTTAGAGCTACTGTGGCTCTATCGTAGTATTTGTATTTTATATATATAGTCATCCACAGACATACTGTTTCGCTGTATCACAGCTCCTCAGTGTGGCTAGACTTCCGATTACTTCAAGCCAGGATTGAAACCCGACTGATTCTGACATCAGTCAGCTATCTTACCCCTAGGCCATCATTGCACAACAGAAAGGAAGGGAATTTTAACTTTTTTCTCTATACCAAATATGCCAGCAGCTCAGAGAACTCAATTCATACTTGAAGAATAATGCTTAATAGCAGTAGGAGCCACTGTTTTTAAAACC